AGATCCTGAAATTAGAAACCGGAGACTCCAACACGAGAAAAAAAATTGACAGCCAGGACTACACAGAGAAACCCTGTCTCGAAAACCAAAACAGCCACAACAACCAGAAAGGAAGAAAGGAAGGAAGGAAGGAAGGAAGGAAGGAAGGAAGGAAGGAAGGAAGAAGGGAAGGAGGGAAGGAGAGAGGGAGGGAGGGAGGAGAGAGAGAGAGAGAGAGAGAGAGAGAGAGAGAGAGAGAAGAGGGAGGGAGAGAGGGAGAGAGGGAGAGAGGGAGAGAGGGAGGGAAGGAGAGATAAAGAAAGGAAGGAAGGAAGGAAGGAAGGAAGGAAGGAAGGAAGGAAGGAAGGAAGGAAGGAAGTCAGGGAGAGAGAAAGAGTTAATTCAGAAAAAGGTGGGGCTTGGAAAAAGTCGGAATGATTTTGATACAGGAATACAAAGCCCCTCAGATAGCAATTCCACATACAGATTTCTAGGGCAGACTTTTCTGATGGTCCTGGCGTCAGAACTGCTAACCTAAGCCAAGGAAACACGGAGTAATGCCAACAAAGAAATCCACATTGGGCCGGGCAGTGGTGGCGCACGCCTTTAATCCCAGCACTCGGGAGGCAGAGGCTGGCTGGCGGATCTCTGTGAGTTCGAGACCAGCCTGGTCTACAGAGCTAGTTCCAGGACAGGCTCCAAAACCACAGAGAAACCCTGTCTCAAAAAACAAAAAAAAAAAAAAACAAAAAAACAAACAAACAAAAAAAAAAAGAAATCCACATTGAACGTGTAGGCTTCCTAAAGATAATGCTCTTCGGGGCTTCAAATTGGAGCTGTTTTTTCCCAAGACGTTTTAACGTGAAAATTGTGGAGAATTAATACTCTCTAAAGTCACGTGGGTGTTGTTCCTACGTGCCCATTCATTGACTACTTTTGCCCAACAGTTTCTAAAATTAGTTAATGTTATTTCCCGCCTGTAAAGAAGTCAAGATAATGGCCCAAGGCAGTGGTTATCACCTGGGCATGCCTTGTCAAAGTGTTTCAGGCTCCTGGGCAGACTAGGGAAAATTTCTGAGACAGTTGATGTGACTCCAGGCATTTTTATTTTATTGTTTCACATTCAGGTGAGCAGGGGCACTAATTATGTCCTTGGTCTTGAACTTTTCTTGGCTAATACCTATCAACATTTTATGACTCACTTAGAGGTGTGGCCAAACTGCAAATGTCCCAGGGCTGAGTAAATACCATTAAATCTCAGAAGCACAATGCAAACCATTTACCCAGGCCGGATAAAGAGTCTCTTGGTGCAAGTTTCACGGGCTGTTATGACATCTAAGCATTGTTCCACTCTCGAAAGCCTCAGGAGTAGGTGTGAAAGACACAACTAATTCTCTGGGATTTTCTAAAACTAGTTTTGAACTAAACTCCCTGCTAAATCACTGTTTGACACTCATTCGTCTTGTGGTTTGTCTTGATTTCTTGAATCTTAAAGATAAAATTCTACTTTAAGTGAGTTTGTATATTAATTGATGTCAAAAGCTCTGCAGTTCTCAACTGATAACTCAAACATTTTTCTAGTGAGTCAATTCGAACTAACACACATTTGCACTAACATATATTTGCACTAACACACATTTGCACTAACACTCATTTGCACTAACACACATTTGAAGATACTGATTCAGTGTTTGTTTCTATCTGCATGAGAGCAACTGGGTAAAGTGTAACTGTGATCATAGTTTGTGATGTAAATCAAGCAAGCATAGTATTTATTTCTGATTGCTTTTTAATATGGGTAGATGTTGATGGCTTGTCTCCATGTTTTATAAACCTTGGTCAAGGAGCTGCTCAAATTTTTATTACATTTATGTTCCAAAAGATAGTTTAATCCTTTCTATATTGATTTTTGAATAGGAATACATCTATTAAATAGAAGCTTGTCTCAAAACAATCTCATATAAATTTGAAGATAATTCTTGGAATAATAATATCTTTGACTTCTTGAATTCAATTTTTTAATGTGTAAAGAGATATACTTAAATAATTTTGCTATATTGTCAAATAATAGTTGTATTTACTGTGTAGTGGTATGACTTTTGAATATAGTAAGGATCAATTATGAAATGTAATTTACTATTTGGAACAAAATATTAGAAAATTATTCTCTTATCAATATCCTGTGCACAGAGTTCAGGTATTAGCTATGCTCACCGCATTGAGCTATTGAATTGAAAGCAAAAGTCAAACTATTCATCTGACTTGATCGATTTCCATCACCTCCCAGTCTCTGGTAGCCACCTTTCTCATCTCTCCTCCTCTGAGAAAATCATTTCCATTTTCACAGATAAATAAATACATTGGATATTTGTCATTTTGCTTTAGGCCTATTTCACTCACCCTCCAATTCCGACAATGTTTGTGTAAAAGATTTTTCCTCTTCAGGAAGTCTGGGGACAGTGCACAGTGGAGTCTGTGATGTGGTGTTCTGAATCCACACGCGTCATCTCGGGTGGTTCACCTGACTAGGACTGACACCTGTCACTGGTGCTGGAGCACGGGAGGACAGACATTTAGGCTTCCCGACCTCAGATATGTCAGGTCAATATTCAGACTGGTGCACGCCTTTAATCCCAGCACTCGGGAGGCAGAGGTAGGCGGATCTCTGTGAGTTCGAGACCAGCCTGGTCTACAAGAGCTAGTTCCAGGACAGGCTCCAAAACCACAGAGAAACCCTATCTCGAAAAAAAAAACAAAAACAAAAAACAAACAAAAAAAATTCAGCCTGGGATTTCTGGCTTATATGGTAATCCAACTTTAAGCTTTTAAAGGCATTTCCTATTATTTTTCATAATGATTGCACTAATTTAGCTATCTCCTAAGTGTGCACCCTGGCGTGAAAGTTTGTCTTTCTGTCTTCTTGGTATTATCCTTCAGCTGGGAAAGGAAATCTCCTAAAACTTTGCATTTGGAGGGCTCAAGTTGTGGGTGATACAGAGACTGTTCTGGTATATAGTAAAATATTATTTGTATTTTAGTAAATAAATCTTGCCTGAAAAGCAGAGGCAAAGCTAGAGCCACTAGAGGTTAGGTAACGGTGACACACAACTTTAATCCCAGGATTTGAGAGACAGAGGCGGGTGAATCTCTGTGAGTTCAAGGCTACCCTGGGCTACACAAGGAAACTAGGTCAATGCAGAAACCAATCCAGGTGGTGGTGGCTCACACCTTTAATCCCAGCAGTAGGGAGTCACCTGTCTTTAATTGTTGAAATATGAAGCAGCGGGGCTGCGTCCCCAACACCCCAGCCGCTTGGCTAGCTCATGCCCGAAATAACAACACACAAACTGTATTCATTTAACTGCTTGGCCCATGAACTCTAGCCCTTACAGGCTAATTCTCGCACCTGGACTAGCCCATTTCTAATAATGTTTGTAAGCACCCCAAGGTGCGCTTACCGGGAAGATTCTAGCCTACATCCATCTTCATCGCGTGTGCCTCAGAGAGCAGAGCTATCTCGTCTACCCGGGAGAGCTGAGCATGGCGTCTGTCTGGGAGCAGAGCAGAGTCTGACCTCACTTCCTCTTCCGACCACCTCCCATCTATGCTCTAAGCTAAGCCAAGCAGTTTCTTTATTGCTCAGCCAATGAAATCAACAGATTGATATATGACACTCCCACATCATTTAATCCCAGCATTAGAGGAAATATTAAATGCAAGGAGAGGGTCTTAGGCTGCTTAGTCTGCAGTCACCCCGGCTTGGTAGAGGTAAGACTTCTCTAGCGGCTCGACTGCTTTGCTTTTCTAGTTTACAGGGTGAACTCCAATTTCTGTCTCTTGGTTTGTATTATTCCTTCTACACTTCTACACCGGCATCGCTTGCCCATTTATATATGTTTCTTTGAGGAAATCTACTCAGGACCCTGGTCCAGTGGATACAGAGATAGCACACCTCTAAGTACAGACCATCAAAGAGAAGCGAATCCTGCAACGACATGTTAACTCAAATGATAAACTTCTTTTACTTAATTTCCATATCTCTCCAGTATACAGTGGAAACCAGACATTCCTAGCTACTGTACATTAGAAGTGGTATCTAGGCAGACCCCAAAAAGACATTCCCGTCATCATGCACCCTGACAAAGTCTCCTTCCTAAGCCCTACTGAGCAGAGATTTCTCTGTTGTAAACTTAGAGGTGTTTTCCCGTGACAGTTTTGGTAAGAATTTAACGATTCTACCTCACTTTAGGTACACAGCAAACAAATTGCACTGGAGGTTCCCGCACACAGTGACACCTACTGGGCTGAGGCTCACAGCGACTTCTAAGCAAGCTGTGCTCACTTTACACGGAGCAAGTCTTTTGATGTTCAATCGTTTAATTCAATGTGCTCAGGAGAAGTAATCTCTCCCCAGCCTCCATCGAAGTCAGTTTCACAGGTTAACGAGTTTTCCCGAGAACAGACTGGAAATAACTCGCTGGTCCGTAGATTTATGAACCCCAGTGCAGGCACGATAGAAGCCAGTATTCTTAAAAACAACACGAAGCAAAACAAAGGCAGACAACAGCCAACAAGCAAACAGAAACATGAACTTTCTTACAACTATGTTTTTGGGAGTGTCCGGGAGAGGAAGGTGCTGGAAATAATTCAGAGTCGAAAGGTCAGCATAGTTACTGTCTTCGGGACATCAGGGAAACGCAATAGGAAACAATACTCATAAAAGGTTACACGCCTGAGAGAAGGGAGTAGGTTTCTCTCCTCTGGCTTTAGGAATGTTGCTGCAGGGTGAAGACAAGATCCGTGCCCTTTTCGAACGGTAACTCTTTGCCTTAAAAGGATGCAGCGATCCTTCATCTGGCAAAAAAAAAATACTGCTTTGCACTTGGATATTTACAGCCTAGCTAAGCCTGCTTGCTTGCCACGAGCCGCGTGGACCCGAGCGTCAGAGCGCGCCCCGCGAGCGTCCCTTGCGAAAGGCAGGAGGACAGCCTGGCAGAGTCTAGCCTGCAGCAACGCCTTCCCGCGCAGAGCCAGCCTGTGCTCCGCCCTCCCTCCCGGCTCCGTGCCACCGGCGGCCGGGCGCTCCCTGGGTGGGGCGGCAGCCCGAGCAGATGCGACGGGCCACGCGGGGCCGCTGCTGCAGCCGGCTGGGCGGTGCGCCCGGGCAGCCTCAGCCGCGCGCCGCGTCGCTGTAATCGGACACCCAGCGCTCGCCCCCGGCGCCCGGCCACTTGCCATTCACTCCGAGGTGCGGAGTTGAGCGACGTGGAGGAGAAGGGCTCCGGGTGCCGCGGCTCTCCCGCCCGGGATTCTTCTACAAAGAAACTCAGCATCAGGCAGCAAGAAACCAGCCCTCGGGACTCTTAAGTCACTGAAGGTCTTCTCGGGGAAGGACCTGGGGGACTGGGACGCAGGCTGGAACAAGTGGCTGACTTCTCGTGGATCTCTTCCCACCTCGGTAAGCCGGACTCAGGTTTCCAGTCTTGTTCGTTTGGCGAAACCGAACTTTTCTGGGTTTGTGTACTGATTTTTTTTTTTTTTTCATCGCTGTGCTCAAGTCTGGGTATTTTCTTAGGAGCCCACGCGGCTTGTGAGGAAAGCGCTCTGGAGCTGAGCCTGGCTGGAGGTTGTGGCACCTGCCAAGAGTTTAACTTGGGTGTTCCAACGCCTTCTAAGGAAAAAATTCGGTGGAAATGGCATAAAATTGTTCTTCTGTTCTCCTATCTGCTGGTAGGAGAGGACCAAGCAACCAGCAAGCACATTTAACTGTGTGAGTTAAAGGAACCAAGTTTTAGGTGGGCCGATGGAGAGAGACATTCGGCATTCTCAGCCCATCGGTAGGTAGGATTGAAACCAGACTGTTCTGTTAGATCCACTCTACCTGATCTACCAAGTCATCTAGACAGTTTTACGCTTCACAGTTTATGGAGTATGTCTTCTCTAGGGGACGCGTATCAAATTATATACCGGTAATAGCAATATGTAAAAAGGTACACGTGTTTCCAACCTGCCTCATCTACAGACTAAGGCTGGACATATTAATAGTACTCTCCTCCTCCTGGCTTTACCTACTAAGTCAACAAGTCCCGGGGGAAAACTGCTAAGGGAAAATCACCCAGAAAAATCAATTTCCTTCTGAGTTAATTTAGGGATGGCAGGGTGAAGAGGCTGTGGAAGCAGGAAGAAGCTGTGTCTTTTGAAAATTACCAACACAAACATCTCTCGGGGTTCCTGCGTCTGTGCGGCAGAGGCATAGAGTTTCACGACTAACTCGGGCAGCATATGGACCACCAATGGGACCAGCTTGGATGAGAGACTGCATGCTCGGTTGAATTGTTCTTTTCCTTGTGCGTCTATGAAAAGAGCCAGAGCCGTTTTGATTTTTAACTGCACTTCCTCATTGAATAGAATCAATAGCGTGGTTTCAATTTTAAAAGCCATATAACGTGAGATCTGTAAAGATGCCCTCCCAAATTAAACATGCTTGTCATCTTACTTTAGGATAACACTAGATGAGAAGAGATGGGGTTTCTTTTGTGAACCTAAACTCACTGGCATGATGAGGCGGGGGGGGGGGGGGGGGGGGGGGGGGGGGGGGGAACATAGCGGTTTGTTCTAGCAGTACCTGGTCTCCCTTTGTGTTTAGACATTAGTTAATAGCTTCTATTAATTTTATAGGGACAATTTCCAGCAAGAATATTGTCTCTTTGATTTATTGTTTGGGATTTTGACAGCCCACTCTCTGGCTGATTTATGTAAAATATGCATCGGTGGATATGAGACTCCCGTGGATTACTCACCACTAGGTCATTGGTTTAAATTTGGCACGAGTCCATGGTTACCTCATCAGCATCATTTAACCGCTGCCTGGTCATCCGGGTGCATTGGCAGATAACTGTTGGAAGTGATTTACTAATCTGGGTTGGTGCACAGGTAGATTTATGTATGGGAACACTGTTTCAGAGACAATCAATCCAGAAAAGTTAATAAGCATGGGATGAGTGGCTACCCATGAATGGGAATGAGGACTGTCTTTACTACTGTATTTATTAGGGAGAGTTTTTTATTCATCAATACTCAATCATTAAAATGGAACTGGTCTTAGAGAGCTCAGCTATATTGGGTCTCTTTGGAGAAATCAATTAAGTTTTTCTCTTGATGCTTTGTTCTGCTTTGATGTCAGCATTAGTTTTATTGGGAGGATAAAGCAATTTCTTGTTGCAAAGATCATACATCGATAAAGCCCAATGCTTCCACTGAGAAGCAAAGTCACAGCACCTCCTACTGCTTGCTGGCTGTAGACCTCAGGCTGTGTTTCCCAAACTCACTGCACCGGCTACATGGCTGTCTTTCTGGTTTGCCAGAAAGTGAAATGACATTTCACAAATCTCTCATCTCTCTTTTAAAGGTATTTTCCCTTGGACATTAATTTTCAAATCAGAAGAAATGGCATTCCGGGCGATTTGGATGTTGGTTGGAGTATTTATTTGTTCTGCTTCTGTCAAAGGATCTTCCCAGCCCCAAGCAAGAGTTTATTTAACATTTGATGGTAAGAAATTTGATAAAAATTATGAAAAATTTTTTGAGGTCTTGTTTTTTTCTTTCTTCTCCTAATGAAAAATTAACATATTGAAGAAAATGCAATATCACTATTTAGTTCTGAAAGTGTTATAGACTACTTTTTGAATGGCATGATTATTTATGAACAATTAATGATTGCATTGGAGGGAATGTTTATGAAAATGCTTCTGGGTAGAGTGTATATTCCGGGGAAATAATACAGAGTTCAGTGTCAGCTGCCTGTGCTGGGGAGCATCTTGTTCATGCCAAACTTCAGGATTCGAAAGAGCTACATGGCTTTAGTCACTAATACAACTCCAGTAAATTCCAGCATTTTCTTCACAACTGGGGTTGTTCTAATGGTATTCTCCCCCTATTTCTAAAGTATTTCCCATGGTTGATATGTTTTTCTAATGAAGTACAAATGACCTAAAACTATTGGGGACAATGTGTTGCCTATTATTGTATAAAGTATGGTTTTCTCAAGCTTCAAGATGTTACGGTTTCAAGTTTTGATTTATATAGAGGGCCATGAGGTCCTTGAAGGGTGTGGCTATCAAATGTGTCCATGAGGCTAATATATACTGTTCACATCAGTTCTAGGTGGGTGGCTGGGTCAGTCACGCAACCCTTATTACAGGACAGATGAACGGCATCATCTAGCATCAGGACCATTTGTGTGTATATTATGTTTCAAATTTTTACAGGAACTCTGTCGACAAGTGCTTGGTATTTTGATAATGAACGTACTCTAAGGCTTTCGCGTAGGAATTGAAAATAGTACATTGGTTAACACTTATCCACCCTTCCTTTCTCTTTAAGTTATAAAGTGCTTTCCCCAAGGATATCATAAACACCAAAGACACCATATTTAGAGGTTATTGAGTGTGAGCTTCTAATTGCACTCTTAACCTTTGGGCCTGCCACTTCCCCTTAAAACCATAGCCATTCTGCTTAGATGTGAAAAACTCGGGGGCAGGTAGACACAATGACTGCTTTGAAATGCTTCTACTTCTCTTAGATTACAAGAGTGTTTTAAGGTTGCTCTCACTCTGTCTCACAAGTTGAGATTATCAAATCAGAACAAGAAAGAAAAACGAACAAAAGCAAACCTTAAGGAAAAATTGTTTTGTACTGTGAAATGGTCCCATAGACCAGATATCTAAGTCTAGCCCATTCTATTGCCTCAATACTAACCCAGATTTTCTATATTAATGCTTACAACAAGTGGTTAGTCACTTAGGATGTCTTCGAGAGGACACTTGAAATTTATGTTTTTCGAAAGAAGGCCTGTCGTTTAGCGCTAAATGTCAGTACTATGGAGGAGAGCGGTTGTTGAGCCATATAGAGTGGAAGTTATAGACTTTTATAGTACTGTATGTCTAGTGTAGCCCAGGCTAGCCTTGAAGTTCTGACAGTTCTCCTGATGTAACCTTTTGAATATTATGATTTCAGCCTCGAGTTACCACCCCAACTTAAAAAGAATTATTCTTAATTTCAAACCAAAAAGCTGTGCACAGGGTTTCCGGAAACATGATTGCATATTTATTTAAACAAAGATCCAGGTTTGATTTTATTTTCAAATTTGGGCTGTTTCTGAGCCTAGAATGGGAATTTGAAGGCATTTGGGGGAATTCTTGTTGCATCAGAGGTCAGTTGCTTCCCATGTCTCATGTCTCTGCCTCTGCCTGCCTCTTCTTAGTACCTTGCCTGCTTGTTCTTTTATCTTGAAATCTCCCTCACTGAACCGGGGTCTCCCATTTGTCTCTTTATGTGTAGAACGTTATTAAAACTGTTGAGACTTGTCTTACGTGAAGTCCAAGTAAACACTACTGTCAATGCAAAGGTGTGTGAAAAAGAAGAACCTTTGCCTCCCACATTCCACCCCTGCTCGGGGTGGTCTGATGGAGTGAAAACATTTGGGAAACAGCGATTTATCTTTCCACACTGATGTAAGACAAAGTCAAGCAGGTGGCTGTCAGCTCTCCCTGGGAATGTACCTCAAATGATATTAGTGAGTCACATTCCTGAATTTAATATTATAAAATGGAGACTGCTAATAGATATTTTGCAAGCTTTACAATTCTTATTTTATTCCAAATAGTTTTCAAACAAATAGAAAGTTTGTATCCATGCTATTTGGATTAAGTATTTGCTGCCTAAAGATCTATAGACTCAGATGTCATTGCACTATTTACCTTGATTTTTTTCTACATAAAAAACTGAAATCTATAAGGGTTGTAAAGAAAGATATAAGTACTTATGGTCAAGGAGAAAGATATATCTTACCTGCTAGTATACTAGGCAAAGCCTTTTTGATAAGTTTTGTGTTCCCCACAGATATTGTAGCATGTCATGTACTACTTTTCAGGATCAGGAATCAGTGCTCTGTGATTTGGATAAAATAAGTCAGTGGTCTGTCCAAATTTATTAAAATGTTTCTGCACTTCAGAAAATGTTAACAATATTGAATCTATATGAAATCCAGTTATGGTGTTAAACACTTTAAATATTGCTTCTCTTTTAAAATGTAATAAATTCTTAAAAATAATATTTCCCACTTCCAAGGTCCCCATGCTCCCAATTTATGCAGGAGATCTTGTCTTTTTTTTCTTCCCATGTAGATTAGATCTATGTATGTCTCTCTTATGTCTTATTGTTGTCTAGGTTCTCTGGGATTGTGATTCATGGGCTGGTTTTCTTTGCTATTTTAGCTGACTGCTCAGATGTGACTGTTAAATATTCAGCTTACTGAAATAGACTTATTCATCAAACTTTCTTTTTCCTAATTCTGTGGGGTCTGTAGTAATTTCTCTATTTCATTTCTGAGACCAGCATTGTGTATCTTACCCCTTTATATCTTAGTTGTTCTTATTAGTGAATTATCTAATCTTAGCAAGCTCTTAGATATTCATATTTTTTCATCCCCCTGTTTTCTGTTATATATCCATTAATTTATGTATTAAAATTCTGTTACATAATTTATTTTTCTTGATGTTCAATAAATTTTTCCATTGGTAAGTTCCTTGAATGAAAGCTTGGTTAAAGAGTTAGCTCTTTCTTATAATATAATTATTCATGCTATAGATTTTCCTCAAATATCTATTTTATAATCTAATGCAAACTTTTCTAAAGTTTATTTTTCAGTTTATCTTTTTTTACAATTTACTTAGCTATTTCTTCCTTTTACCTATATATTGATGACCCATCAATATTTGCATAAAAATATTTCTTTTGTAGATTTCTGACTTAATTTCCTGAAAGAACACATATTGTGTGCTCATAATTATGTAAAACTTATTTAAACATCTTATTACACAGAATTTACTACATATAAAAATAATATATATTCTACTGTGTTTGCACAGACTATATGAAGAAGGCCAAGTAGATCTAGATGGTTAATAATGTTTTTATATTATTATTTATTTTCTATCTATTTGCTTTTTCAACTGCTAGGCGAAGCGCTGAGACTCTTAAACAGCATAATTGTGTGTTTCTCTTCAAGTCTGTCAGGTTTTTGTTTCATGTCTTAGTTTCTATTTATATTCTGACATATTTTGAAGTACTGTTTTCAATTATGAAATACCTCTGAATTATGAAACATCTCTGATTAGTTCTGGTAAAAGTATTACATGCATTTTTGTTGTATGTGATATTTACCTTTTTATGTAGCAAAAATATCACAACTTAGGGATGTTATTTACAAATTCTATGATTTAAAAATGTGTTGACTGAGGTTTTCTGTCTCACGTGGTCTTTGTCCTGCCCGGTTCCCTCAGTCATTAAGTCCCAAAGAAATCACACAGAGGTCTACATTAGTTATAAACTGATAGGCCTAGTAGCTCCGGCTTCTTATTAACTCTTATAACTTATATTAGCCCATTATTCTTGTCTATGTTAGTTATGTGGCTCGGTACCTTATTTGGCAGGGCAGTCACATATTGCTTCTTCTGTGGCTCAGTCAGGACTGCAGATTAGGACTTCCCTTTTCCCAGAATTCTCATGTTCTCATTGACCTGCCTCTACTTCCTGTCTGGTTGTCCTGCCTATACTTCCTGCCCGGTTACTGGCCAATCAGCATTTTTTAAAAATATAATTGACAGAATACCATTGTCCCACACCAAAAATGTAAAAGCATGAGGACATATATTTAAATAGGCATATAGGTAAATAGGTGTATAGGTAAATAGGTGTATATGACTAAAGGGTTGTCATAGTGAGAACTAGATTTACCTGGGATAAAGCCTATCAAGTTTTATGTTTTTGATCCACAACTGTGATTCTTTTGCAGGACCTTAGTTTCCCTAATCACTTGAAGATAACTGGAACCAAATGGTCTCCTTATTCTCTTTAACATTCTGAAGTGAAATTGAAGTTTAGTTTTTATATTGTGAAGTTCAGTGGGTTTTTTGTTTTGTTTTGTTTTCTGTTTGTTTTGTTTTCTGTTTGTTTGAGGAAGTCAATAATATCTGGCAATGTTTTCAAAAATATTTTATATAAAGGAGCTGGATTGAGAGGAAGAAAAAAGTAAATGGTATTAAAAATCCGTCTGTTTTGGTTGTCTGATATTTTCTAAGTGTGGTATATTGCGAAGCTATTTATTCTTCTTAATCCAGATAAATACCCTCTCAGACAAAGATAGCACATACTTTATTACTTAATCCAGATGTTATAAATACCCTGTTGGAAAAAGATGGACCACACTTTATGAGTGCTCTGGCAATTAAATCAACTATGTTTTTTGAGTACAGTCAATAATGTGTATGTTTTAATACTTGAGTGCTTGTTTGATAATTAGCATTTGTAAACATCTTTAATTTGGAAATGTGCCATTATAACATCATTTAACATCACATAACATCATTTATGTTATGATGGCCTATTTTCTACTGGCTCTAGAGCAGTGGTTCTCAACCTTGCTGATCCAGAGACCCTTTAATACAGCTACTTCACATTGTGGTGACACCAGCCACAAAGTTATTTTTG